TTTTTTTTCTTTTTCTTCTGTACCAGCGCTTGAACTTGAGACCCTGCACTTGCCAGGCAAGCCTTATTCTACTGAGCTATCTCCTTGGCTCTCAATTTATTTTTTAATGTTTAATTTTTAATTAACTTATTTTTAAAAGAGAATAAAAATAGTTAAAATGTTAGAGATGATACAGAATTCACTAACAGAATGACAGGAATGCCAGCCACAGTGGTTGTTATATTGTAAATTGCTGTCTCCAAATTAGTTATTCGCATTACCAGATAGAAGCATGCAAAATTGGTCAAAAAATGTTATGAAAAATTTAGAAGGAAGAAAAAAAAATTGAGCATGAAGTGTACCTCTCAGGAGACCACAGCACTCCCAGGGCTGGGTGAGCAGCCCTGGCTCATGACACTCCGGATCTGGATCCTCCCCTCCTGAGTAGCTCGGGTGGATGTCACAGAATGAATTGGAAAGGAAACAACTAGGTGGTCGTCTTCAGGGTCTAAGGCTCAGGTGGCCGGTCCTGGCCTGCCTTCCTGCTCTCCAGCATGGGCCTGGTGTCCTGGGGGTGCGTGGGGGAGGACAGCAGCCTGAAGCGCTGCAGGTGGGCCCTGCTGCCCCTCGGCATGGCCCCAGGTCTGCTCTCCACAGTGCAGATCACATCTGCCGGGGAAGCAGCAGAGAGATAGCTGGAGGTGTGGAGTTATTTCTGGAGCCCTTTGTGGCCCTGAGAAGTAGTCCGCAGGGGCGGAAGGCTGCTTCTGGCCCACCGCGCTGCCCCTGGGGCAGCACATCTTGCTGCGCCCTCCGCTGTGCTGCACTCCTTACTCTCAGGACCGCAGTGCCTCCTTAGGAGCAGTCCTTCCCACCTCTGGACCTGCAGTGCCACTCGCTGGGGCCCATGGGCAGGAAGGACGCAGTGTGAAGGGGTAGCCCCTGCCACGGTCTTCCTGGCATGGGCAGAGACCGTGGTCCTCCTGTACAGTTGGGCTGCCACGTGTTGGGCCAGGCCTTGCCTGCTCCATGGCTGGGTAGGCTTTGGGTGGTCCCAGATATGTTGGAGTCTTAGCACCAGCCCATGGAATCTAGGAATCTGCCAAGCTTGGAAGGGCCTTTGTGCTCTCTGCGAGGCACCTGTAGCCTGGCCGTGGTGTGCCAGCTCCTCTTGTTCCCACAGTACTTGCAGTTCTTGCGGAATCATCCTTCTAGTGGCTGCTGAAGCACAGGCAGAGTCCAAGTCCGCTTGGTGGCCCCTGGTGACTATCCCAACCAAGGTCTCATAGGTGTTTTGCAGGTGTATTCTAGACTTGTGGGAGTCCCTGATTGCTTCTGGGTGTGTGGCACTGCTTTTGTTCCCATGGACGCTGGTGATACCCAAAAAGGGGACACAGAGGCAGCCTGGGGCCCTCCCTGATGCAGTTGGCATGGTATGGCTCTCCAGTGCAGAGGATTAGGTCCCCTGCTTCCTCTGGTACAGGACAGGTCACAGGCCAGCTCTGCTCAGCCAGCAGCCCTACCCCAGGGACCAGAGTATCAGCCCTTGTGTGCCCTGGGATGGGGGGGTCCAGCGAGCTCCCAACTCGGCCTCTGAGTTTCCCTGGAGTTGGAGAACATGGGTACTGTCCCATGGCCCCCACTGTGTCCCTCCTTGGACACAAAGTGGGTGGGGTGCAGGCATGGAGGGCTATCTGCCTCCTGGCTTCTCAGGTCTGAGGTCCCTAGGCAGTCTGCCACCTCCTTGCCACTTTTATTTATTTTTTGAAACAGTCTCCCTGGGTTACCAAATTGCTCAGGCTGGGCTCCAACTTGGGGGTCTCTTGCCTCAGCCTCCAAGGGTGTTGGGATTGTAGACACATACCACCACACCTGGCCGCTTGTCCCTTCTTAGAGTCTTCCTCCACTGGTTTGGTCTAAGGTTTTTACTAGTAATAGGAGGTTGGGTCTGAGAGGAACGACGTTCCTATGTTTGGGGCAGAGCTGGAAGGCCTTACTTCGGTTTTGAAATTTCCTGGTTGAAGGCTTTCACTCCCACGTGGTCAGCCTCTCAGGAAGAGGGCGAGAGTTGAGTCACTTGGCTCCTTGTGAGGCTCAGCCAGGAGGTGAAAGCGCTCATCAGAATTCTGCGTTCCCGCTAGAAACAGGCCCTTGGAAAGGGGAGGGAACAGCTACAACACGGCTGAATGTCTGCTCCCAGCTGATCACTTACCAGCTCCTGTTCCAAGCTGCCCATCTGTCTCTGCCACTCGCTGCAGATGTAAAACCCAAAACAAGCTGGGTATGGTGGTGCATGCCTGTACTCCCAGCACTTGGGAGGCTGAGGCAGGAGCATTGCTGACAGCTCAAGGCCAGCCTGCACTGCCTAGAGAGACTTACTCTCAAAAGTCCAAAATCAAGCCAAGTACAATGATTTCTTTCTCTTTTCTTCCCCCCATCCATCTGAATTGAGGAAAGACCCGTTTTCTACCTGGGAAATCATTTTGCCTTAATTTTGGCGACTCCTGCTATATGCACAGGACCAGGGCTTTGCAGGACAGCTGAAAAGGTACTGAGGTCTTGGTCTTAGTGAGCGTTGATCAATTTCTGGTGGTTTGGGGCATCAGAGAATCTGGGCCTAGGGTCACAGCCTGGCTCTTGGTGGGGACAGTGTCCCTCCAGTCAAGGAGCAGTGAATGTGCGCTGTAGACAGGCTCAGACCAAAGCCCAGGCATCCGGCTGCGAAGCCCGTGATGTCATCACGCGTGGCCCGGTCCCTGCAGTGTGCATAGCACAGGAGGGGTGTCAGCACCCTGTAGATGGCAGTCTTGACCTGAACCCACACCTCTGCTGTGCCTCCTGCTCCCTGGCTAGGTGTGAAGTCCTCCTGCATAGGTCATGGGGTGCAATATATGGTGCAACTGGGGCTCCCCATCACCTGCATCTGGTCTGCAGTGGGTGGGGGTGGGGAGTGAGTCAGTGTCCTCGGCCAGCAAGGTGTAAGCACACGCAGGCCACGGCATCATGGAGCCACTGGGTTACCCAGTGAGGGTGCCACACATGTCACCAGATGGTTAAAGAGAATTCCTGGGCACATTATCCTCAGATGGCCCGGGCTGCGGTTCCGGAGGGCCCGTCCTCCTGGTCAGCAGGAGTTATTTTGGGATGGCAGGCCTGACTGTGGGGCCGGGTGATTCATTATGCACGGTGT